GATATGGGAGGAGTTGGAGGGGAGGGAGTGGGCATGGATTTGATTAAAACACCTTATATACACGTATGAAATTCTCTATAAAGTTTTTGTAAAAGTTAAAAATGAAGATAAAAAGAGGACGCACTAGCCACGTGTGTTCTGCCTTCACTTGTTGGGCTGAGTGTTGGAAGTATATTTTTCATACTGTAATCTCATGAGGAACAGGAGTCAAAGGTAAGTCTGTAAGGTTCTCAAGTGACTTATGTTGCACGACTTCATCCCACAGTGTAGACCAGAAAGCCTGAGGAAGCTGGTTGAAACAGCAGAAACTGCATAGGAAGTAGGTCTGTCTCAATTTGATGGCTGTGCCTACTCATAAGGAATGAGTTACACATAGGCTCTTACTCTTCCTAGAACATCATATCTGGATTCACTAAGTATTCAAGGGCAGATACTCAGGATAAAGAGGACGAGCAACATTTCCAGAACACAATGTCAATCAGTCCTTTCCCAAGAGGTGATTCAAATCTGACTCCCATCCCAGAAATCAGTCAACACAGACACATACAAGTGGAGAACAACTTCACCCAGGATTTTAAATTCCCACTGGTTTGTCACTCAAGTTCAGGCTGACAGCTACATATTAAGAGCTTGATCATGTCATAACAAAACATAACGAAATGCTGTATTATAACATAAAGTAAATAAAAGCAGAAACTCAAAACTGTACACTACTGTATGCTCTCAATAAAAGCAATAGATGTAAAAAGGTCAAATACATACCGGAGCTTTTAGAATCAACATGAAATAATTTTTTCAGCTTGTTTTAAGGGATTTGTCCTCACTAAGTTTTCTTTTTTAAATATTTTATTTATTATTTTATGTTTATGCATGTACAGCCTGTATGTAGGTAAGTGCACTTGTGTCATGTAATGCCCATGGAGGACAGAAGAGGCAATCTCTGTTGGATCCCCTGGAACTGGACTTAAGGACAGTTGTTAACTGCGATGTGGGTGCTGGGATTTGAACCTGGGTCTTCTGCAAGAACAGTCAGTGTTCTTAACCACTGAGCATCTCTCCATCCCCACAAAGTTTTCTTTCACTAGGTTTTCTATTAATATATGAATTAGTCATAAATCCTGCCAGAGTGGTCAGTCCACAATGGCCCTAGTACTATACCAATATGCAGATGTTTAGCTTTTAAAAATTATATTTATTTACTAATTTATCACATGTGTATGTGTATGTGTGAGTACACACATGCTATAAAGCACATGTGGAAAAGTCAGAGGACAACTGTGGGAGTCAGTTCTCTCCTTCCACCATGTAGATTCCAGCAATCGATTCAGGTCCTCAGGCTTGGGAGCAAGTACCTTTACCTGTTAAGCCACCTTACCAGCTCAGATGCTTAGTACTTTTAAACACAAGCAGTTTTCTTTCACTTAATTCTCTCTGTATTCCTTCGATATTTCACTGTAGGTAATTATCCACAAAGCAGAACAGATATCAAGGAATCAGAGGCTGAAAGCGCATGGATGCCTTTCATGTCAAACCTTACACTGTGGTAACAAGAAGAGAGGCTGAATTCTGGGATATTAAAGAAGAAGGTACCTGTTATTTAAACCACACTTACCCTGTCTCCAGGCCGTACCATAGGTTCTTGCTTTGTACCCAATTTATGCAGAATATTGTAAGCAACTTTCATGCTTCTTGTCCACAGTTTGCCTGTTGATCAAAGTATAAGGACACAAGTAACTCTATGGTATACATGCATTTTCAGTTATGTAGAAATTTACACTTTAAACTAGGGAGCATTCTCTGAGTCTAATACACACATCTATTCTGCTCCCAATACATGTGATCTTCAGTAACTGATATGGAAGAGACAACTGACAAGAGGGACAGGGAAGCAAGACTAGAAGTGGAGGTCCACAGAAAGGAGGGAAGCAGTGGAGATCTTTTAAAAACAGCTTGGGAGGAGGGGAAGGGGAAGGGAGAAATAAGAACCTTAACTTTATTCTGTTTAGCCTCTCTTAAGTTTGGCATATGATGAGGGAAGGTTTGATGGGACAAGAAGCCAGAAGTCTCATGAGCACACACTTCACAGCCACAGGAATGGGAGGGATTGGGTCCTGAAAAGGTCTCTATCAGAATTTACCCAGAGATTTTATTTTTCAAACCTTCAACTTGAGATCCTGGAATCAGGATGGGAAATAAGCACTAACAACTCTAACAATCTACCAGAGATGCTCCCAAACAAGCCCTAACGCCAGACAAAATTCCCTGGTGTATAAAGTACTTCCAGCAAAGCCACAGAAAATTCTAATTAGCATCACAGAAGTAGTGGGGGAAAGATTTCTACTGAGGAACACAGGGGAGGGCTCCCATTGCTGGTTTTAAACTGCACTCAGGAACATTCATCTATTACTAACTATTCTATTCAACTATTCATCTATTACTAACTATGTGCCCTGCCTTACATGACTGCAATGAACACAAACTGTACAAGAATGGCCTGAACAGGTCATTCAAAAGTCTCTTCCTTTGTCCTCAGTGTTAACATTTCCTAAGCTCAGGTTTGGGATATTTTGGAAGAGGAATCTTTGAGCTTAAAGATAGTGGCAAATATATTTAATCATTTTAAAATTCTGAACTCTGGGGAAAAACATGTAAAGGATGAAAACACGAAAAACCTACTGGGCATGGTGGCGCATGCCTTAATCCCAGCACCTGGGGGGCAGAGGCAGGTGGATCTCTGTGAGATGGCGGTCAGCCTGGTCTACATAGTGAGTTCCAGGCCAGCTGGGGCTACAGAGAGAAACTGTCAAAAACAACAAACAAACAAAAACCTTAAGTTTTAAATTTAGGATGAAGATAGGTTTTTTTTCCCTTAGAATTTTTTAAAAAGCAAGCTCTGAAGGACTTGCACACTTCAGGTCCTTGTCCTACCCTCTGTGCTTCCAGGTCATCATGAATAGTTGGGGATGAAATAATAGTGAGTTCAAATCTAAAAGCAGCTCTTGCACACACAAAGTAGTCTGAGACACTGCTGCTGAAAGCTTTTCAGAAGGAATCAAGGTAAGGGCTGATACATTCATGCAAAAATAGTATAATGAAGGTCAACTCTGATCACGTTGTTTCATTGCAACCACTGTCTCATTTTCCTTTGTAAACAGAAACGCTTCTGGTTTACAACACATTTTTAATTAAAAAAAAAACACCTCTGCATTTATTATATTCCATATTAGAATTGCAGTCACCTAAATTAATACTGTTGCCTACCATTTATGAGGCTCATCAACTTCTCTGCCCCTTAGTGGTTAGAGAGCAAAGAAAACATTTTATCTTTGATTATTCTAATCCCCAGGACAATTCCCAATTCACAGTATGTGTTAAACACTTTTCGAGTTTCGCTAATGTCATAGGGAAGAACCAATTAAGTCTAGTCAGGGTATGCGATTTAGCATGACTCTTAAGTACTTCATTACTAGATGTGAGATTTTATTCATGCTCCCTTCCTCTATCTTCTTTAGGTTGTCAGGTTGAAAATCACTTGATATTTTATCTGGGAAGTATATTTTATTTAACAGTCACCAGCTCGTTAGAAATAACTGAGAGTGATTTTTTTCCTCATAAATATTTTAAACTTTCAGACTTCCTTAATGTGAACAATACTAGGGAACTCTTTTAGCTGAATAATTAAAATTTGTTGTCACTGAATAAAAAAACAATGTGTTATAAACAAACCAATTAATTAAAACCATTATAGTCTGCTAATGTTTCAACTTTATTCTCAGCTAGGAATCTTAGAAGTTAGTATATCATATGCTCATTCAAGAAGGGCAAAATACAAACTTTGGACAAAATTACTGAAATACACTTATTCTTACTACCATAATTATTATTTTGTTTTAATATGTTTGGATTTGTTTTATTTATGTGTATGAGTGTTTTGCCTGCATGTATGTAAGTGCACTCATGTCATGCAATGCCTGCGGAGGCCAGAAGAGGGCATCAGATCCCTTGGAACTGGATGGTAACTGGATGGTTGTTAGCAGCTGTGTGGGTGTTGGGCACCAAAACCAGGTCCTCTGAGAGAGTATCCAGTACTCTTAACCACTGAGCCATCTCTTGAGTACTTATTATTTTGTTTCTTGAGAAAGGGTCTCACTATGTAGACCAGGCTTCCTGCTAACTCACAGAGATCTATCTGCCTGCCTCTGCCTCCTGAATGCTGGGATTAAAGGCGTATGCCACCATGCCTGGCTCTATTTAGTATTTTTATACCTTGTAATTTTCACAGAGAAAGAGAAACTGTGTGCAGCTGCTACTCTAAATAGAAGAAGACATAAAAGGTCTGAAAATGATGAAGGACTCTTTGCTTTAGTCTCCTGGATCTGAATGAGGACCAGTCAACTGCAGGGCAGTACAACTGCTAAGAAAGGAGGCAGATGGGTGTGGAAGGGGTGATACCTAGAGCTACCAGGGGAGTAAAGCACCCATAAAACAGGGGCAGGAACTGGATAGAGCCACTATAAACATCTCATAACAAAAAGGTTGTGGGGAGACTGCCTAGTCTATTCCTAACTCCAGCAGCTAAACTCCTGGACACACCTGGAGGGTGTCCACCCGGACTGGACATGGGACTGGTTCGTGTATTCCCACCCCTATCTGAGGAGGTACTGGCAACTGATGACCACTGGGGAGCGGGGAGGAAGTCAGTTTTTGTCAGGGATGCAGAGCCCAGGGAAGCTGCCCATGCTGCAGTACATGGTCCCACAAGCAAGCACAAACAGGCAGCACTGAATGAACCCAGTGTGTTGAGTTATTGAAAAATAAAAAGAGTACATCAAGTTAGAGGGGAAAGTGATGCTAGAGGGAGGAGAGGGAGTGGTGGAGGGGCGGGGAGGGAGGGGAGGAATGGGGTGAGTGTAATCAAAGAACATATGCAGGTAAGAATACTAAAACACTAAAATAAATAAAAATTTTAAAAAAGGACATTTGTTTGGTAGAAAAGCAAAATTCATTTACAGGTTTTGTAACCAAAAGGAGGGGTAAATGAAGACACCAGAGCTGCCCAGGAGACACGAGAAGGAAACAGCACATCTCCTTCATGAAGAGTCCACGGGCACTGCTGACTCTGCTTCCTATTTCTGTTGGTCATTTACATCTTAAGTATCAGAACTTTCACAAGTTTATTCTATCTACATGTTCTACTAAAGACTAAATTTCTCAGCTGTGTACTCTGTTTCTTTAGGACTTGGCAGGAAGTTAAATTTGGGGACTGCAAGGAGTGAGAAGACTTTAAATACTATAGTCCTTGAATTATACCAATTTGTCTAGGCATTAGAGAAACTCACACAAGCTTTCCCCCCACTGAATTGTCTCAGCAATCATCAATTGTTTGTTCATCTGTTTTCATTTTCCACACAGATAACACTAACCTATACTCACTCAGCTAGCCAACACTTTCATTTTATGTACTGATAAGGTAACAAGTTTGTATTTGAAAATATTTTTTATCTTCCCTTAAGTAAAAGCTAAGATTGGCTGATAACTCCTAGTTAACATTAAAGATTAAAATATAACAAAATAAAAGTGACTGAAGAGCAGGGGCTGGGACACTTTAAGTGTAGGTATGATGCTTTGGAGAACACACATTTTCACATATGTAACAGTGGCTTTCTTGTACTTCAAACTCATCCTAGGCTTGTCAGAAAGGGAAAGGAGAAAGCAGTAGTGTCATTACAGTCCATCAGCAGAGAGTTGGACTTGACATGGCAGACTCTTGATGACTGATCTTCACTCACCTTTGACTTCCCAAGCCTGAGGATTGAGCCAATGCACAGTACAAGCTTAATGCACCCCAGTCAATGCTCGCAGGTCACCAGAATGACAGTGTGCTGGGATAGACACAAGGTTAGTGCCAAGGTTGTCCCACAGCCAGGTAAGCTTTGGAGTCGTTAGCAGTCAAGATGCAGCAATTCCAAGTACATAATTAGTTCTAAGAATTAATTTGGCCAGGCATGAGGGTCACATAGAAGAAGTCTCATTTTGACTGAATAAAACATTCTAAGACCATAATTTTTATTTATTTATTTATTTATTTGTTTGTTTGTTTTTGTCTTTTTGAGACAGGGTCTCCTTGTAGCCCCAGCTGTCTTGGAACTCACTATGTAGACCAGGCTGGCCTTGAACTCACAAAGATCCGCCTGCTTCTGCCTCCCAAGTGCTGGGATTAAAGGCATGTACCACCATGCCCGGCCTAGAGCATAATTTTTAAAGAATCAATAAAGATTATACTTAATCACAGATGATGATCTCTAAACATTTTAAAGAGTCCAATGAAGCTATGAACATAAAGTAACTGTGAAAAACAAACTACCAAACCCAACACACTTCTAAACCAAAATCCTGTTTGGGCTCTTGAAATGCATGGGCTGCAGTATGTGTCTCTGGGGCTGCACCCTGAAAAGGCTGAGCTCTACTTTGTTCTATGATTTAACATAGGATCTGGCTCTTGACTTTGGTGGCTAATGTAAAAATCAAGTTCTTTCCTCCTGATCATCAGAAGTGTGTGTGATATAAAAACAATGCCTAAGTATTTTTAAAGCCATCTAATCTCACCTGCAGACAATATAAGCCATTTGCTCCTGCAACCATTAAGCTTGTTTTGTTGGGTATTATTATTATTATTATTATTTTTGCAAAGCTGAAGACAGTAG